GAAGTCTGAGTTAAGTTTGGAACACTTTTCATCCTTCCCCTGCTTCCCTTGTCCCAAATTTGACTTTTATCAACAGATAAGTCTTTTACTTTTTTGGAGTGTGGGTTATATTTTTGTTGCTCCTTTCCCCTGAGCTCAAAGGTTAGCTGGTGGTGTTCCAACTTTATTACCTAAGCTCCTGGTATCTCCAGTCCAGGTAGATCACCTACCTTTGTTGGTGTTTTAACTCAAATAATAATTTTCCTCCTTTGTCCTTACATGGCTTTTAGAGGTGTGACTGGTGTCCCTGTGATGTGCAGGTATTGTTAGGAGTAGGGACTGATAAGCCTGTGGGGACTGGTAGTCAAACAGCCCATTTTGGGGCAGGGTTTGATGTTTGACATCTCACTTGATTTTTGTTTGTCCTCAGCATATGCGTTCTCAGTTTCAGACTTGGTGTCATGGGCAATTGGTCATGAAGTTTTTTGTACTGTGAGCATTTTTAGCATTTTTAGCATCTTATATTTACCTTGGAAACTGTTGGATGTTTTCTGGGCCCATCATAAACAGAATGGACTAGTGGATCCTCTAGTCTGTCTCGTAGGTGTATTGGTATTAACTTGTTACCCCTCTTTTCTTACAGGACGCAGGGGCTGGGCTTCTTGCTGCTGCCATGATTGCTGTAGTTCCTGGCTATATCTCTCGATCTGTGGCTGGCTCCTATGATAACGAAGGTGAGACTTTTAAAGTGCTCAAGGGGTCCCCTTTTCTCCCTTCCTCTGCCATCGTAGTGTGTGTGATTGACTCCGTCTCTCGCCATGTCTTCTCACAAGACTTTCAGAATCAAGAGAATTCTGGTCAAGAAACAGAAGCAAACTCATCCCATTCCCCAATGGATTTGGATGAGAACTGATAATAAAATCAGGTACAGCTCCAAGAGGAGTCATTGGAGAAGACCCAAGCTGGGCCTATAAGGAATTGCACATGAGATGATGGCACACATATTTATGCTATATCATCTTATCCCATATCAAACTAAAAATGTCACTATTATCCAGTCAGGCATATTTCATTGGGAAATGATTTTTCTCTTTGTTTATATGCTCTGCACTAATAAGCTGGTTCAGTAATAAATATGTGAGACTTTTTGTTTAAAAAACATATAAAATGCTGAAGGGGATCTGTTTACTTCATTTTCCAACAGAGCTTTACAAAATGTAGGAGTATCTGGGTTCAGATTTGTTGTTAACAATAATAAAAATGGTATCTGAGTGAGAAGGGCAAGACAGGATCTTGGACAAGTTCACATTCTCTTCCCATCATCCCCTCTGGACAGGTAGCTTGCAACTTTTCTTATAAGCCTTTGGTTCATCTGTGGACTCACAGAATTAACTATTGTTTAAACATTATAATCATTTGCGTTATGTTCCTAAATAAGTGGAATAGATGTCCTTAAAATTGTAATGACTTGGCCAGGTGCGGTGGCTCACGCCTATAATCCTAGCACTCTGGGAGAACGAGGGGGGCAGATCACTCAAGGTCAGGAGTTCGAAACCAGCCTGAGCAAGAGTAAGACCTCGTCTCTACTATAAATAGAAAGAAATTAATTGGCCAACTAATATATAGAGAAAAAATTAGCCGGGCATCATGGCGCATGCCTGTAGTCCCAGCTACTGGGGAGGCTGACGCAGCAGGATTGCTTGAGCCTAGGAGTTTGAGGTTGCTGTGAGCTAGGCTGATGCCATGGCACTCACTCTAGCCTGGGCAACAAAGTGAGACTCTGTCTCAAAAAAAAAAAAAATTGTAATGACTTTTATTGACTTATTTTAAATTCAACGTATATTTATTGAATGTTATTTTGGGAAAACATAGTGTTAAACTATATGAAGGTAGATAATGAGTAAAATTATTTTGGGGCATAATTAAGAAAATAAAGAGATAAGTAATGAATAAGACTATATTTGCCCATAATCTATTAAGGAAGATTAAAATGGACTTATAATAATAATTCCAATGTTAGGCAAATGTGCTGTGATAGAAATAAGAACAGAATACTTTGAAAATGTAGCGTAAAAAGAGATTAATTGAGATTTGGAATCAAGGAAAGTTTTTGGGAAGTGGTTGAGGTTAAACTGGGTCTTTCTTTAGGCAGATATTAAGGGGTGGGGCAGTTGGGGCATAAAGACCACCTTGGGTTAAGATTTAGAGGCAAGATGATCTATCATGGTATAGGATGTCTTTAGGACTACCCTGGCAGGAATTTAGTGCCTGGAAAGAACAATAATAATAGTGGCCAACATTTACTGAATGTTTACTATATGCTAGGTTCTGTTCTAAGTGCTTTCCGTGCATTAATTATATTTGTCTTCACGATTGTTTTATAATGTAGATACTATTTACAGACTCCTTTTTATAGGAAACTGAGACAAAGGGAGATAAATAATTTGCCTAAAAATATACTGTTACTAGGTAGTGGATCTGAGTTATGAATCTAGTTGATCAGTTCCAGAACAATTTTCTTTTTCTTTTTTAGTAAGTATGGTTTAAGATGTGTACAGGTACAGAACAGTTTTCTTAACCACTATGCTAGCATGGCCTCTTGTTGAAGTTTTGATGTGTCCTTTCTGCAGGGATTGCCATCTTTTGCATGTTACTCACCTACTACATGTGGATCAAGGCAGTAAAGACTGGTTCCATCTATTGGGCGGCCAAGTGTGCCCTTGCATATTTTTACATGGTAACTTTTTCTACATGTTTTTAATTTTTAAAATTTTCCAAATACTATATTTCCTATACGTACATATTGGTTAACTTTCTTTTCTGGTATGTTTTCCTTAAATTTTTTTTCCAATATATTTTTTTCTGTTCAATCTTGTGTATATACTTAGACTCCCTCCCTTAATTGCTTCTATTTACTCACATATTCCTAAATCCTCTCTGTGACCTTATAGTAAGTACATTACATGTAGATTAACCCTGAGGCTTGGGTACCTCCTGTTGTGTGATCATGATGTCAGCAGCCACAAGGGAGTAGGGGATTGAGTTATAGTAATGGGTCTGAATTTGATTTTCCCGTCTAAAAAAATTATTTAGGCTCTTTAAGCCTTTTGGCATAAAGTTTATAGTTACTATAAAGAGATATTCTTTAAAAAGGGCATAGGTGGTTTTTCAAGTATGGTGGTGGTGGTCTGAGGAGGAATGCTCAGAGAAACTGTTCTTCTATATCCTGTTGCAGGTCTCTTCATGGGGAGGTTACGTGTTCCTGATCAACTTGATCCCTCTCCATGTCCTGGTGCTGATGCTCACAGGCCGTTTCTCCCACCGGATCTACGTGGCCTATTGTACTGTTTACTGCCTGGGCACCATTCTTTCTATGCAGATCTCCTTCGTGGGTTTTCAGGTCAGCCATTGACTGAGTAGGGTTTTCAGTTTCTTCCATTTTTTCCTAAGCAGCCCCAGCTAGATCGATTTATCTTGAATTCTATTAAGAAGAGTAAGACTTATTCACAGCTTTGATATTGAACTGTTTGTGTTAACTGAAGCATCAGAATCATTGGTCATTAAAGTTGGCTTCTAGGAATATGTTAATATTTGCTCCATGAAGTTTGAATTTATTTATTTATTTATTTTTGAGACAGAGTCTTACTCTGTTGCCCGGGCTAGAGTGCTATGGCATCCGCCTAGCTCACAGCAACCTCAACCTCCTGGACTCAAGAGATCCTCCTGCCTCAGTGTCCGGAGTAGCTGGGACTATAGGCATGCGTCACCATGTCCGGCAAACCATGTCCGGCTAATTTTTTTTTTTTTTTATGTTTCTAAAAGTACTGAGTTTATTTTAAAGCATCATATCAAGTTTTAATTTCAGTAAACAAAGCCATGTCTTTATTACATCTTGATTTTGGCAAAGAGTACAGACTTGCATACAACAGATACAATAAAAGTAGTTTAAAGTAGGTGTTTACTTTTAGTAATATAATAGTATGGAGCTAAAGTACTATATATATATATATCTTCTGTGTAAGTGATTTAGGCCATGTTTCTTGTCTTTTTAGAAGTCTTTAGAATTAATATTTCTAAAGTTGCCCCTTTTATTTGATACTTGTGCTTTTTGCTGGAATAGAGGCATAAAAAAGATTATCTCTGCTTAGATTAACGTACTCACATGTGCCTAAAATGAAATTAAAAGATCAGATTTCTGAGAAATAGTGACATTCATGATCACAAGTTATTTGGGGGGGGGGACCACAAAGATTTCTTTTAGCAAAAACCCAAGGAAAACTAACTTTGGGCAATGATTGGCAACCTATTTTACAATAATCAAAAGTCTGAGCTCAGTGAAGAGAATGCCATTTTAAACCTACTTATCCCACTTCCATGATATACACATGTGTATTTCACTAAGGAAAGAACTTAGAAACATGATTCCATTCTAGCTGTGTAGTTATACAAGGGAGTTATCAACTGAATGCATCTATTGCTTTTTTTGGGGGTAGGAAGTCATCTATTCTGATAACTGAAATATGCAATTAAAGGCTATTTTTAGAAACCTGGAAAACTTGGGGTTCAGTACACAGAAGTTTCATCTACAAAATAATGGGAATGTTATAATTACCACAGAAATTACAATGTTTACCATATAAACATCATCTGCAAGTACTTTTTAATCACAATGACATCACATCAAAAAGGTACACATTCTTGTTCACTGAAATTAGGCAATTTTGGAATAAGAGACAGATTATTTCTCTCTCTCTTACTCTTGCTCCTCTCTCCTTTTTAAACTCCTCAATGTTGAGCTACAGATATACTTAAGCTGCAATAATAATACCAAAAGAAGGTGAAGGGTGTTTTCTTTGCAAAATGACTAAAGTACATAAAATGCCTTAGCAGATAACAACACTATTATATCTACTAAAATTTTATCTTCATTTCTCATTCTCCTCACCATAACGCTCACATTTTAATTATATATTCATTTTGATTGTGTGCATGTGAAAACACCAACTAATCTATTATTTCAACATTAAGCTTACTGTTTTTGAAGCCAAAATAATTTTGCTATTCTATGAAAGTAATGGAGACTCATTTTTCAGGAAGCTTAAGGCAGAATACTTAAGGTTCATGCTTGCTGCTTTGCCTGGGCTTCTGCTTCCTTTGAACCAGGTGGTGCTGTCAAGCCTAAAAAGGCATACACTGCATTATTTTCTCTGGCTTCAAAGAAGGCATCATAGTCCCCACGGTACTAGCTTTCATTGAAAATCTGAGGTGGCAGGGGGTACCCTGTGGCTGGTCGACTGTTTTCAGGTACATTTTCTCTCATCCACTTCCGATTCTCTTCATTTGCTGCAATATCTTTTTCTTCAAATCCTATTTTGTTGGCTTCTAAGAAACCAAGCACATCTTGCTGTTTCTTCTTAATCGCCGTAGAGCCAGAGGAAGATGTAATATATACACGGATCACCATCCTGGGAATAGCGGCTGCAGTAGGTTGGGTCCTGAAAAGGGTTGCGAAGCAGCTCCAGCAATGGCTGCAACTGAGCTAGGGGCCAAACCCGGCTAATTTTTTATGTATATATTTTTAGATGTCCATATGATTTCTTTCTATTTTTTTTTTTTTTTGGAGATGGTGTCTTGCTTTTGCTCAGGCTGGTCTGGAACTCCTGAGCTCAAATGATCTACCTGCCTTGACCTCCCAGAGTGCTAGGATTATAGGCGTGGTGGCTCTCACGCCCAGCCGGTGCAACTTATTAATACAATATTTGACTTTACAACAGTGTGAAAGTGATAATGCATTCAATAGAAACTGTGTACTTCAAGTACCCATACAAGTATTCTGCTTTTCACTTTCAATACAGTATTCAATAAATTATATGAGATATTCAACACTTTATTAAAATAGGCTTTATGTTAGATGATTTTGCCCAACTACTGGCCAATGTAAGTGTTCTGAGTACATTTAAGGTCAGCTAGGCTAAACTGTGATGTTCAGTAGGCTAGGTGTATAAATGTATTTTCTATTTACGATTTTTATAACTTACAATGGGTTTATTGGGACATAACCCCATCATAAGTCAAGGTGCATTTGTATATACAATTTGCTAATCACTGGGAACTATAAAAAGAATAAAAATATGGTCTTGGTCCTTAAGGACGTTTCAGTCTTCTTAGGGGGAAAGAAATACATGCAGCTATCTATAGCCTGTAGTGTAGTGGTTCTGCAAGTGTAGTTCCTGGACCAGCAGCATCTGGGAACTTGTTAGAAATGCAAATTCTCAAGCCACATCTCAGACCAACTGAATCAGAAACTCTAAGGGTGAGGCTCAACAATCTGTATCTCCACCCCCAGCCCCTTGGCGATTGTCATGCCTCCTGAAGTTTGAGAACCATCGGTCTAGCACATTGACTGTCACACTAGAAAAAAATTTTTTTCCAGAAATAGAATAAAAGCTTAAAAGCAAAACTTTAAAAACTTTATTACAAAAATAGAATAAAAACTTTGAAAGCAAAACGTCGAAAAGTTTATTATAAAAATAGAATAAAAACTTTGAAAGCAAAATGATACTTTCTGATTTCATGAAAACTGTTATTTTTTATTGTTTTCTGTGTGTGAATTACATACAACTTGAAAAATTGTTCATGCAGCTCCCAAGGTAGAGACCTGTGAGTTACATATGCTTCATGAGGCCCCAGGGGCAAAACTAGCGTGAGTTAAATACAACTCACATTATCAGTTAATGTACTAGGCAAAGAAGGATTAAGTGCTAGAAGAGATCTAAAGTGTTGTGGAGGCAGGCGAATCTCTTGAGCCCGGGAGTTTGAAGCTTGCCTGGGCAACATAGCAAGATCCTATCTCTAAAGAAAAAATAAAATAAATTGCTGTGGAACAAAGAGGGAAGTGATTGGTTTCGGATTGGCAGATTAGGAGGAGATAGTATTTGTGCTGGGCCTTGAATGATGAGAATTTCAGTGAGTGAAAATTTGGAGAAAATTGCAGTCCAGGCTAAGGAAGTAGGCTGAGCAAAAGCCAGAGATGTGATGATAGTGTATGGTATGCTTTGGGGGACCTTCAGGTGTTCTTTGGAAAATGTGGCAGGTGAATTAAACCCTCCCCTACACTTGGCTTTGATTCCTTTGGGGACCTCAGAACTCATTTGACCCTTTGGTCTGAACTAGATCAAGATAATACAGGTCTGGGCTGGACTCATTCATTTTTTTCCCCTAATATTATTACCATACATATGCTTTCACCTACAGCCCGTCCTTTCATCAGAGCACATGGCAGCCTTTGGAGTCTTTGGTCTCTGCCAGATCCACGCTTTTGTGGATTACCTGCGTAGCAAGTTGAATCCTCAGCAGTTTGAAGTTCTTTTCCGGAGTGTCATATCCTTGGTAGGCTTTGTCCTTCTTACTGTGGGAGCTCTCCTCATGCTAACAGGTATGGAAAACTCACAGATTTTAGTATTAAATGCAGATGGGTACAGACATAGAATAAACTTCAAAAAGACAGGTCATTTCCTGACCACATATGATTCTTTTCCTCTTATTTCTCTTTTCCTTTCAAGCATATAAAGTCCAACGTTTTAGTCCACTTGTCAGCCCAGTGTTTGGATTCAGCATAGTACAGAATGTGTTATTAGAGCAGCTCTTAATCACACCTGGTGAAAGGACTGTCTCTTACCTTGCAAATCTTTCTTCTCTTTCACTTTTTTTTCCTTTTCTTTCCTATTGATTAGGTAGGAGAAATCTTTATATTGCTTGCCATACCCTACAGCATGGCACTCATCTAATCCCATGGGAACTGAAACATGGCTGTGTAGTTTAGTTGGCATGCCACATTTTCCTCCTTCTCCATTTCCTCACTTCTACTTCTCAGAGGCTAATTTGATTTTGCCAAAGTCTCTGGATATTGGCTAATTCAGAGCAGGACTGGAGGATATAGTTGTTTTAGAATTGAGAGTTGGCCTTGGTTTGACCAGATTTGGCCTAAAATCCTTCCAGGAAGCATTTCTGCCTCTCTTCTTCTGAGTTTATTATATAAAGCCTGATTTTATTCTGCTGGTTATGCTAAGAAAGGACTCTCTAGTTTGAAAGAAAAGGAGGAGTAAAACTCTTTTGTATTTATTGGTGGCATGTAAGGAAAAACAATCTAGTCCTTCTCTGTCTCTGAGAATTATTAAAATGGGAAATTATGACTGGTTAGGATCAGATAATTTGTTCCTGGGTACTTGTGAAGTATTTATTGTCTCTTTGCTGCTAGGAAAAATATCTCCCTGGACGGGGCGTTTCTACTCACTGCTGGATCCTTCTTATGCTAAGAACAACATCCCCATCATAGCTTCTGTGTCTGAGCATCAGCCAACGACCTGGTCCTCGTACTATTTTGACCTGCAGCTCCTCGTCTTCATGTTTCCAGGTCTGTCTGCCTTGTGTTCTCAAGTGGCCTTCTTCCTAGGACTCACCATTTCATTCCAAATATGTAAAGTACCCTCATCCATGTTTTTGTTGTTTTTGTTTTCTTGTTTAGCTTGTGTAGGGCAGCATGGCTAAGCACACTTTCCTAATATCTAAAGCTGAGTAGAAGTCAGAAGTTGAACAGTTGTAGATATTGGCAAGTTCAGAGCCTCATAGTTTTCTGTTCATTTGTGTTATAAGTTAAAATTCAACTCTAATTTTTATTTAGTGTTTTTTTGTTTGTTTGTTTGTTTGTTTTAGTACTTGTAATGTACTCCTTCCCTTCTACCCCCATTTCTCCTCTTGGCAGTATTGAAGTTCCATTACTGCTGATTGTAAAGCCCCGTCAGTCTAAGTTATCTTCTGGCCATTCCAGATGTGTTTTAGAATGGTAAATTCTAAAACACATCTGGAATGTAATAGTAATAGTAATAGTAGGAATAGTAACTCTTACAGTTTTTTGATCCCAAACCACAGTTAAGGAATATAAATTCTAAAACTGGTAAAGTGTTAGTGTCTTTTTCTTTGATATAATAACTCTTACCTTCTTTTTTCTTATTCTGAAGTTATTTGTATATTGTAAAAAGTATATATAGAGAGAAGTAAAAAACGAAAAGGTAAAAATTGTAAGAGTTCTCACCACCCATCTGTAGCTATAAAAGAAATTCCTGAATTGAATGCAGGTTGACCTTTAATGCTCATTCAAGCCTAGGGTTCCAAGGTTCCAATTTCAACAAGCTTTCCACCCATCTAAAAGATGTATGATGCACTATAACATCAAATGTCAAATATTAACATTTTGGTATACATTCGTCTAGTTATTTATTGAATAAGAAGGAGATTATGTAGTTTTTTCTGGACTTCTTCATAAAGAATCAGTTTCTCTGTTATTTAGTATTTTGTAGAAATATTTAAGATAATATTTGTTAGTTTTTTTAAAGTACAGAGATTATCAAGGTGTGTAAGAAGGCAAATGGTTCATAATCTCAAGCAGCAATGTTTTAATTAACATATTCTATTTTATAAATGTACTGTAATTAACTAGATTCTTATTGTAGGACATTTAGGTAGTTTCTGACTTTTTGCTACTTTAAGGAGTTCTGTAGTAAACATTTTTGCACATTTCTATGGTGGTTTTTTTCAGCATAAATTCCTGGAAGTGGAATTGCTGGGTTAAATGTGTGGAATCATTCAGTCATATAATGAACATACTTTCCCTTGTAGGTTTCTACCTACAGGACTCAGCTGCTTACTTCTCCTTCCCTCTCTTGTAGTTGGCCTCTATTACTGCTTTAGCAACCTGTCTGATGCCCGGATTTTTATCATCATGTATGGTGTGACCAGCATGTACTTTTCAGCTGTAATGGTGAGGAATGCCCCAGTCCTAGCAAACTTCATTCCTAATTCAGATGCTTTGTTTTTTCTGCATGGCAGGATTCAGAAAGTACTGATAATTGTGCTGATGTTTCCCTCTGAGCATTTGAGGGGCTGAGTTGTAAAGCTACGTGTTGTTGATACTTCCCAGAAATGTATGAGACACTCATACGTTCTGGTTGCAGGGTCCAACGTTCTTGGATTTATAACCTTTTGTAAGAGGCACTTTTGCACTTTGTTGAAGACTATGACCCTGGGTGTCTTAAAAATGGAGATAATAGACTGGGCATCGTGGCTTATGCTTGCATTCCCAGTACTTTGGGAGGCCAAGCTGGGAGGATTGCTAGAGCCCAGGAGTTTGAGACCAGCCTGGGGAACATGAGACCCTCTCTTTCCAAAAAGTAAGGTGTGGTGTGTGTGCCTCTCGTCCCAGCTACTTGGGAAGCCGAGGTAGGAGGATTGCTTAAGCCCAGGATTTTGAGGTTACAGTGAGCTATGATCACACCACTGTACTCCATGCTGGGCGACAGAGTATGGTCCTGTCTCTTAAAAAAAATAAAAAGTAAAAAAGGAGATTTTTTTGTTATTTTTTTCTTGAAGGCATGGGAGGATTACCCAGTGCTAGATTATTAAAAGAGAGGAGGGACTTTAATTTATCATAGTAAAATAATAATTCTTACAGTTTTTTGATCCCAAACCACAGTTAAGGAATATATTTTATATCATATCATTACTTAATG